TTAACTGCTGTTATTTTGTGTTGAGCTAATGTGGATCAATTAAAGTACATTATATGTTTGATTTTAGTTTATATTCCAACATCATCTTGTAAGCAAACTCTTCAGATGCATAAAAGGGGAGTAACCGACATTTCATGGTGTCCAACCGACACCACTATGCTCCTTTCTTCGTCATTTGATGGAACAGCTATTGTAATTAACATTTGAATTGTTTTATTATTTTAATATACTTTCATGCTAAATGATTTTATTTATATTTACAAGGTATGGAATATATCAGATGGTTCCCCAATTTCTTTATTTTGTGGACATCAACCTCAAAATCGGGTATTTTGTACGGAATGGAGTTTGCATGATAAAGATTTAGTTTTTACTGCTGGAGATGATGCAATGTGTTTTGCTTGGAGGCCCAGTGAAAATCCATATAAATCAAAGGGTAGTCATTTAATCTTTCCTTATCATGTGTTTTCCATTAAATGTAACCAAAGCAAATTCACTATTTTTATTTATTTATAGAAATTATATCAGATTCGCCGTCGATGAATGAAAAATTATCACATCAGAAACAAAGTGTTGTGTCGACAGAAATGGTGGATATGCCAGTAAAAGATACTGTTACGAGCATAGAAGTTAATCGTAAACCTGATAATCGGTCATCCAAAAAAATCAAAAAATTAAAAACTCTTCTTCCTGTTAGTTCTATTCCTTCTCGGCGCAAGAATCTTCAATTTAAGATTTTTGAGCTTTCACATAAATTATATGGCGGTGAGTGGGAAACTGCTATGAATTTATGGGAGGATAAGGAGCCAGGTAAGGAAAATGCTGATGAATTTGACCAACAAAAGTCTACGTTTAGTCAGCTCTACTTTGGAGAAAAGTACACGGCAAGGAAAGCCATTTTAAAAGAAGGTACGTAGTTATTGTATATTTATTTGGTATCGGTCGCAATATGTAGCCAATTATTAAAATCATTGGTATTATATTGGGAAGTTGAGGCGCATAATGAAACAGGTGCTACTTTCAATTTGGGTGGCTTAGAAGCAACTCCTGCGATTCTATTGGATTTGTGGTCCAGTAATTTCACTTCATTGGTTAAACGTACCGTAGATAATGAGGAATTTTCCGAGCAAGACTGGATGATCCTTGCCCTTAGTCCTATTGGTAAGAGCTATTTTCCCTTATTTTTATAAACATATGTTGGTTGTATCTTATTAAATTATTTCGTAGCTGGACGAGATGTATGGTTATCTATGATGCAACGTCAGGCTCAAAAGCTTGTGGCAAAAAATGATCGTCACGGAGCCGTTATGTGTCTTATTGCGTGTGGAGAAATACATGAAGCAATTAATGTTTATCGTAAAGCCGGGATGTTTCGGTAAGTCTATATAAAAAAGAAAAAAAATAATAATAATTTTCAACACGCGCGGCTTGTAGTAAATGAATATATATTTGTTTTTTTTTTTTAGAGAGGCTATAGCTCTAGCAAAACTTCGTCTTCCCGAAGATGATCCCATTTTTTCGGATTTATATAATTCATGGGCGATCCAATTAGAAAAGGAAGAGGCATATGAACAGGCTGCCTTGTGGTAGCTATAATATGAAATTTTCTTTTCATTTGTTTTTACATTACGCATAACTTGGTATTAGTACTTTCGCTTTTATTGCTCTTATTTAACAAATATTTCTATTTTGGTTTCAGTCATCTAATAGCAAAAAAAGAAGATTCAGTACATCATGTATTGAACACTTTAGCACGTCGAGGAGATATTTCTTCGCTTCGTGCTTCTGCAAGTTTAGCATTAATGCTTGGAGATGATTCTACTGAAGAACGAACGCGTCGTTATTTCGAAAAGGTAGAAGAAAAAAAGACATCAAATGCTGAATTAAGCGAAGAGCACAAGCTTTTGGAAAATGAAAGTGGTAATAAGAAAGGATCTTCATTAAACCCCGATACAATAGAGATTGATATTTAATTATTTAGATTGTGAGAAATTTGATGTCATTTTTATATCTTTATATCTTTATTTAAGTCAGCAATAGAAAATAAGGTTTTTCTATCTTGCATAAACACTATATTGCTATTATTTAAGGGCATCCTTAAAATGTACCTGGGGTATAGGCTTTTAATCTGTACCCCATGTATAAATAAAATTTAAACTTTGTGCACGTGACTTTTACGAATTGGCCAATACAAATTCTATTGGATTTCTTAATAAACGCGTCATGTCATAAATTTATTTAAATTCGAAATAACGAAAACTTTTCCCATAATTATGTCTTCAAAAAGAAACATTTCAACGCAAACCCTTCCTAATCACACAGTTGAACGTACCTCATCTTTATGTATAACGCCAAACTGTCTAAGAACATCATCCAACTCCACTCGAAAACCGACATTTAGTTTGTTAAAATTAACGTGTGCTCAAAATATCGATTATAACTTACAACTTTTGCCGACATTATGCCACCTAAGCGAGGAAGACATGGAAAAAATGGATGTTATTTTGCCGGAAGGAACGCTTAGCATAAATATATCCTTTTTTTTAAAAAAAATGAAATTTTGAAGTTTATTTAAGTGTTTGAAAATTATCTTTGACCTTTTGGCTCCAACAACACGTTATTAACAGGATAGACGGCAAATTATCTACCCTTAATACGAAAAAAGAAAATATAATATTAAAGCGTCTTTGTAGAATAGAGGTAGCTGTTAAATAGAATATGTTGTAACCTTGATAATAGGCGCGATTTGATCAAATGATAACAATTTTAACAATTTGCAGATATGGAGACAATTTGGATTCTCTCATATCGAACCAGAACCAATAACGAAACTTCGACAATTCAATAAAAGTAAGTTTTCTAGTACAAATTATTATTATTTATATTGTTACTTGATACTTGATGCAACTGGTTTTATTAGAATATCGGCTTTACGCATCCGGGAGTCAGTGTTCCATCCCATACAACACTCTCGATCTAGTCAACCAGCTACCACGTGGATCGCTAACACAATTGACTTTTACATTAAATTGGGTTACCATCAATGATGATATCCTTTTTACATTAATCATTCTTTTCCATAATTTCATACAATAAACGTATTTTCCGTATATTCCTTGACGATATTCGCGTCACACACATAGCATCATTACGACAGAAACTTACGATGGAAAAGCGAGAATTACAATCCTTAGAAATCGCTGCAATTGACATGGCGTTTCGAAGTTTGATAAAAAACTTATTGCTAGAAAGGTATCCGCTTATATTTTCATTTAATTTCCAAGAGGTAAAGAATTGTTTCTTTAATTACTTTTCATGTCTTCCGCATTTTACATTGAATCCGCTGTCTCGATGCTAATAATATGTTATGTGATACAGAAACTTCAGTCTGCAACTAAATATATCCCAACGATTTCAAAATCTATCACGCGTATTATCAAAAATAGTCCTAATGTTGAATTTCGGTCGCAAGCCATTGAACTTGTCAAAGTATACCATTTATTTTAGTTTCCTTTATTAATATTAAAGATTGGCATCATCAATAAATATTTCATCGAATTTCCTAGAAAACGCGTGCACATGTCAATTTATCGTTCTCCTCATATCGAGGTATCAAAGAAGGTCCTGATCTAACCACGAATCAGACAAGAAATATTTTAGGAAATGGGTTATACACAATCGCTAGAGACACAAATGTGCCTTCTCTACCAGTTATACAAGTGAGAGAGAGTCTATATCGTAATTTTATATTGATAATTTTTTTTGCAAATATTTAATCCTTATATAGCAATTATCAAGTGAAGAAGAGATATCGGACAATCGCATAATGTCACGAGACATAATTAAATTAGGAAAACATCCTGATTTGAATTATAATTCAAAGGACACTTGCAATGTACCTGAAGTCGATTTCGAAATGATTCTGGATGATGAAGATGGTGACAATCTGTTCACTGGAGAAAAGACGTTGGATGTTGAAGATGAATCAATGTTTGAAAATGAGGGTGACAATAACCAAAATTTGATTGATGAAGAGTTTGAATATTCTTCAAGTTCCGAGAATTATGAAGATTTTTGGGATGAAGAAGAGATACAATTCCATTTTGGAACCAGCAATCCGGCAAGCTCAGCTTCTATGGATTTATATAAAGATTATAAACCCGAGTCATCCGAAAAAGGGATTTCGCATGAAAAATTTAATATTGTAGACGATATCGATTCGTTGGATTTTGGAACACCTGATGAGGAAATGCACGAGTATTCAAATTTAGATAATTCGGAAGGGTCCTCTTCACTTGCCAAGCGATATGTTTCAAATAATTTTTTTCCATATTCACGGCCGGTGAGCCCTTTTAGAGACAAGACGATCACTTTACTTCAAGGGCAAGAGTCGATCGATTTCAAAAATTTTTTCCAAAAATCGACGTTGTATTCAAATGAGAAAATTCAAGTTTCAAAAGAGACATTTTTTGATCAGATATTTGATGAATGGTCATGAGTTCTTCGTAGGAGTTTGTAAATAATATGTTTTATAAATTATTTGAAGAAATTGGTTCGCTTGATTGAACTCTTTGGATTTGCAGTTCATTGAATGTCACAAGTTAGAGGCGAACAGTCATGACTCGTGTTACTATTCGATTTACGGAGTTTTTGATCCGAATTGGATATGGGTCGTCCGTAATAAATCATCACTCACAGGAAGTGATAGGTGGCAAATGATAACTAGTTCAATCTGCGGATGACTTTAAATTTATCAGACGGATTATAGGTCAGGTTGAGAGATGATGAGTAGAATTAGAAAACTAGAGACAAACGGAGAAGCCCAAATTGTGATTTGGGAATATTATCAGAGAAATTTGATTTAAAATAAAACAACTATTTATTATAGACGGATTAAGGATTTATTATACCAGAAGTCGGAAAAATAAAAATTATTTAATTTATTATACATTATATTAATAAAATTTTTATAAAGTATCCATTTAAAATAATACAGATCTTTAATAGATGTGAGGAATTAATTTACTAACCCTAGTTGAATATTCTAAATAATCAACACCAAAAGTTCTTAATAAACTAACTTCCTCTTTTCTTATCCTAAACCAATAAGTTATTGAAATAACAATAAAAATAATTGAGGCTACCAAGTAATTTCCAGAAGATAAACCGAAACCATTCCATATTAATAATTGACCCAAATAACCCGGATGTCTTATATGTCTATATGGACCTAAAAAACCAGGGTATTTTGTTTAAAATGCTTTTAAAAATATAATAAAATTCATATAACTTGTAAAATGAAATAAATACCTTCGGTGACAATGAATTGTCCTTCACCGATTCTAAGATTTCTAGTAAAAAATCTATTAATTCTCATGGCATACCATCTTAACCAAACGCCAAGAAATATTAAACAAACACCAAACCAAGCAACGAATAAATTAAAAGGATAATCTATTTCACCAAACACATCATCATTTTTTTGAGAAAATGTAAGTATGATGGTAGGAATACCAAAACAAAATAAATAAATTAAATAAATGAATAAAGAGGAGCATGATAATGAAGATTTTCGCATCAAAGAAGTAGATGATGAGTATTCATAAGTAGGATTAAAATTGTAATCGAATAAAAGAGAGTAATATGTTGAATCCGAGTTTGGACGTAAACAAATGTCGAATAATAAGTTTATTAATAGAAATACATATGATAGGAATAATGGTATTTGATCTGGTGATGGGATTAACGACATGATTTGTTATAATAATAATAATAATAATAATAATTATATTGTTTTTTTTTTTTTTTTTTTTTATAATTTATTTGAGTTTTTGAGTTTTCGTAAATCAATCTTGCACCGACAAACTTTGCCCAACAATTCAATCAAAAAAAATTGGGAGTTTAAATGGAAAATTAATAGATGATCAGCAAAATACGTCATTATATAACCGACCAATCTGATTAACAATTAAATATGTAATATGATTTAATGTTGATTTAGCCACTAATTACAAGAGCATTTTAGAAATTCTTTGGAGAAGATCAATCTTTTTTAATGTTTTTTAGGCTAATTAAAAAAAATAATAATAAAAATTATACACAAGGTATACGTAAAATAAAATCAAATAAAAAAATGGGATAAACTTTAAAAATGAATGAATGTCAATAATTAATTAAAAAAAATAAAAAATAATAATAATGTAATCTTTATATAAAATAATATATATACAGTATATGAAAATAATAAGAAAATGAAATTTTTTTTTAAAAAAAAAAAGATTTCAAAACGAAAAACCTTAAGGAACAAAATGTAAAAGAACCATCAATATATAAAAATTAACCAAATAATATACCTATAATATAATTTTGTATGTATGTAACTAAAATTCATTAATGCAATATAATAGGTCAGAATAAATATTTTGAAAAATTTGATAGTTGTAGGCGTTACGATCTGACGCGGTGTTAAAATTGATGGTATCCAAATTATTATTATCTAAATTCGAATAACCTTCACAAGTCTCGAATTCTAATGAGGCATCGGGTTCGGGTGAACTAATAACAGGAGGAGACATCGGAAGGTTGAGGTTAACGGTTGATTCGCTTTCGTTAATTTCCTTACTTTTCTTCTTATTTCCGACCATTTGCTTCTTGATTGGTTTGTACTTGTAATTTTGGTACTTTTTTAAGTGCATTTTTTTGGCTATATTAGCCAAGGAGTTGAACAACCTGATGGTATCTTGCGATTCATTTCTCCACATCTTTCCGATATCCTTTGAAAGACTAGCTTCTTTTTCGCCATCATGCTTCTGTTGGAGTTTAAATCTCGCTTTAGTGTCCCTCCTATAAATCATGAAAGAATTCGGTGGTCGAGGAACCTTTTGTGTATCATCTTTTTTCTTTTGTAACGCGATACGTGTAGTTTCGGAATTATTAACGAGCATTTCGGGATCAAGTGTAAGTTTATGTCTATAAGCTTCAACTATCTCTTCGTCGGTTTTATCAAAACGGTCGAAATCGGGTGCAATCTTCTTAGAGTCATAAGACCCGCTAAAAGTGATCACATTATTTTTTGTTGATCGAGTCATATTAGACGGCTAATAATTATACTTTGGAAAAAAAAAAAAAAAAAAAAAAAAAATTAAAATCAGATAATTTTCCATTAACAGGATTCCTTTTATAAAGGAAATTAAACCACTTTTAACTCATAATTCCCATTGATTAAATTAAATCAAAGCGATCAAGTTTTTCCGAGACGCGTAGTATGATATAAATGGGGGTTTTTTTGACATCAACATTACATGCTTATATATATAACATTAATCACTAATAAAAAAAAATTTTTTTTTTTTTTCTTCAATCGTAACCAAAAAACAAATATCAACGGAGTTCCAATCATTAAAATAATACTTTTAACTCCGCACATAAATTACATATAGTTATAAATTATTCACATGTTTTTAAGGCCCATCAGTCATTATTCACCTTTTTATTAATCATGGAAATAAATAACTTTATTGATAGTTATGAATGAATACAAGGATAAAATAATAACAAATAAAATAAAAATAAAATAATAAATATAACAAATAAATATAATAAAATAAATATAATAGAAAATAAATAAAATATAGTAAATGGTGATAAAAGATCTACACGGTAGGTACTTTGTCCAGGGTCTTCAAAACTGCTCACCTAAATCTGGTTGTACGATGGACCATTGATTGTTTTATAAATGGTCCATCGTCCAACCAGATTAAAGGTGAACACTTTGCGAAGACTGTGAACAGAATAACTATTGTAGAGATCTAGAATCTTGTAAATCAAAAAAGATGGAATGAGGAATGAGTAAATTGAAGTCGAATTGATTAGGTGATATTTCTTCGGAAATAATGTGTCCATCGGATTTTAAGTACTCCAAAAGCAAAGCACACTCCTCGTCGGACAACTGACTAATCAGTTGCGATATATCAGGTTGTGGTGGAGGAAAAGTTGTGTTATCATAATTTGTTGGGTCTAATGGTAAAACGTTGTCTATAAATGAAAAAAAATTTGTAATTGTGAAAAGGAATATTTGATGAATATCAGTCTTATTAAATTAATTACCTTCGGGAACATATCCATATGGTATAATATTTTGAGCAATGGAATTCAACGGTGCGAAATTCGCGGCACCCATCATATTCATATCATTCAACGAATAAGAATATTCATATCCAAAAGTTTGCGGCGAAACGTCTATCATAAGCTGAGGATCTTCGTATGGGGAATTCAATACAAAATCAAATGGAATGTCGGCGGATAAGTATGAAGATTGAGAATTGAAGTCGGTTGGAAATGGAGAATCCAGTTCTTGAGGATTACAGTCGGTTGTAAGAGGAGATTCAAGATTGACGTCAGATAAAAGTGGTGATTCAAAGTCCATTTCCATAAAAGAAGGAGATCCAAAATTGGACGGACTAAACTCAGAGTTAACGTCAGATGAAGTGGGAGGTGAAGTTAATTCAAGATTTGTGTCATCTTGTCTTGGTCTTGCTTTTTGATTTTTTTTGGACTTTGGTTTATTATTATTATCTTGTCTTTGTCCTGCTTTAATTTTTTTAATTTTTTTGGCCTTTGGGCTATATTTATAATTTTCACCATACTTTTCGATGTGTTTTTTCAACGCCAATCTTGATAATGCTTTAAACAATTCCTTCACCTCCTTACTCTCATTTTTCCATAGCTTTTCAATTTCAGCTGAAATAAATTGGGGCGTTTTTCCTTTAAATTCTGGTTTAGCACTTGTATCTCTCCTATAAATAATCCACGAATTCTGGGGTCGTGGGGGGGATCCGATTAGTTTTTTCTTCCTGTTCTTCTTCGCACTTCGCGTCTCAGTTGAATTCATTATAAGGGTTTCTATATTACGAGCGAATGGATAGCTTGAACCGTAGACAATTTCTTCATCGGACTTTTCGTTTCCAAAGCGAAGTACTTGAAATTGAGCTTCCATATTTTAAAATATTTCAGTCTGTTTGTAATAAAGAAACTGTTTTTTGTTTAAACTACCTTTGAGTTTTTTTTTTAAGAAAAAAAAAAAATAAACCTTGTGTCAAAAGGAAAAAAAAAAAAGAAAATAAAGCTTTGTGTATTATATATAATGAAGGCTCTCAGTTGTGTGTCAAAAAAAAACAAAAGCTTTGTCTATTTAAAAAAATAAAAATGAGACATTTGAGGAGAAATTAAACTTTTTTGTTCTCAAATATATTTTTACAAGGAAGATGAGGTTCGATAACTTTTGATGTTAATTAATGCGTTTTAAATATATTCATCTCAACGTTCCAGATAATACCGCAGCATAAAATAGAAAATATAAATGATGCGTGTAACCCGTGTAACAAATCATTGCTATTGTTTATTGTTCTTGTTGTCCTATATTTGGTTATTTTGTGTTTTAACATCACAATCTAAAAAAAAAAATTCCTATAATCTGAATATCTTCCTGTAATATCACAATCACTCGAATTATTTATAACTTAAATTTACTTGGTTTTTTTTTTATTTAGAAATTAATACAATGAAAAGATGAAGAGAACGTAAATATAAAAATTTGTTAAAGTAATATATTGATACATATTAACTTTAAATATAAAAGAGTGAATTTAATAAGACACAATTATGAAGTTGTGATTCTTGGGAATGGGACATTTAAAGAGATATTTTTGAAATGTGACAGGGGAATTCGTGGAATGATAATGTATTACCGTGCCTTGCCTTTTTTAGGATTTATTATATTACAACATCAGAAAAGTCGCCATCGCATTTATCTTTTTTTTTTTTTAAAAAAAAAAAAAAAAAAGAATATATATCTTATAAGTATTTCTTAATTTTCTTAATTATGTTATTTTTAGTTGGTGAAAAATCTTAATAAAATCTTAAAGAGAACTTAATTAAATCTTAAAGGTAAAAAAAGGTGTAAATTGTAAAGTCTCAGTAAAACAGCTTATGAGTCACTTTCGCAGATATCTAGATTAAGATATTCAGAATAATCGAAAGAATTTTCATTATATGTTTGGGAAGGAACTTCCGTTACGTTAACTTTTTTATCGTCGAACTTGATGGGAATGAAGTCATAAAAACATGGATTTAAGGATGGTTGGGGGTATTGGAGGTAAAGATGTTGATTTAACTCAACAGAACCGTCAACATGGCTGTTAACCTCGATAGGTAATGGAGTTGAATTGGTGACCTTGACAGTCGAATTCTTATCATTACTTTCCATTATCTTTTTCCTTGATTTAGGTAGACCAGACGGTTTTCTGGGTTCATACCTATAATTATTGTGTTTTTCGGAATGCTTTTTTTCGGCCAACCTTGCCAAGGCGTCAAATAGACTTTTGACCTCCTTCGATTCGGCCCCCCACATAATACCAATAATCGTTGATGCTTCGGACGATTTTAGTCCGAAAAATTCGGGACCGGATGACTTATCTCTACGATATAGCATGAAGGCATTTTGAGGTCGTGGTGGTCTAAAGATTCCTCTTTTCCTATCATAAATGGCTTTCCTAGTCGTATTTGAATTGGACAAGAGAATGTCGATGTCAAGGTTGAAGTGATACCTTGATGAACGAACCAATTCTTCGTCGCTAATGACTTCTTTCCCAATGCGAATGGACCTATTCGGTTGTGGTGGTGATGGGGGGATTTTCGAACCGATATAGGCGCTCACGTTAAAAACGTGATATCCTTGTAATTGTTGTTGTTTAGATTTTTTAGCCATATTTCATTAACATTGGGAGGAATAAGGATATTTAGACTAAAAAGGTATTTATAACGAACAACAAAAACGAGGATCTATCAAAGATTCTTACAAGTCGATGAGAAAGCATTTATATAGGAAAATTACCTTTATTTTATTTGATGATACTAAATTTGAACAAAATATAATTAAATTGAGTTTTTCCGAACGCGCAGCTCTTTGTGAAACCCATAATTTTTTTATGTAATCAGATTTACTATTATTATTTTTTGTGCGCAAAAGCAAATTTTTTTTTTTATATATATATCTCTCCCCTTTCATTTGAAAAAATTTAAAGTAACTTCTATATTCGAAAATATCACATTTAAATTGTTTTACTTACAATAAAATACCTCCTTTTCTGAAAGATTTTTTTTGATGAAAAAAGGAAATTTGAATTATTTGCCATTCTCCGCCGATTCCGAAGATATTTATTTGGAAACTTAATTATTATATGAAACGATTTTATTTTAGCAGTAGTACAATTTATGCAAGATCTGGAAAAACTCTTTTTATGAAAGAGATGCTTTACCTCATTAAAAAAGCTTAACCAACAGAAATTTAATACTTTTTAATTATAGTTTTTTTTTTTTTAACAATAAAGTACGCGGATGCTTTATAGAATATTGTAATATATGTAATATGTACAAAATATATACTAAAGAGATCCTAATGGGCGTAGGGATGGCGTAGCCGTCACGCCTTATAGTTTTTGTAACTCGCTCATGCGGTGGCGCGTCGTTTGGGTTTCAAAATAAAAAGAAAAAAGGATCCGTGCTTATTGTTTACTTTAAATAAAGAAGGGTGATGATGTTACAAACTTTTTCATCAATGTCCATATTTGTATTTATTGAATGCTATTATGATGAAAATGAAGTTTTTCCGGTTCTTGGATAAGGACCGCTGTAACATGGAGAACGCTCATGGCTCGTTTGCATAAACATGCGATAACATGAAGTGTCGTTTATGAACTGTTTCCTAAAACGAAATCGCTTTTAAGTTGAAGTAAACGAACTAGCTTTAATTTAGGAATAAATTTATCGAAGATTTCATCTTTACTGCATTATACAGATGTCATTGAACAAACATAAATACCATTTTTAGATTAATTGAATTTTTTATTATTTGCATTTATCTTGGAAAACTTTATAAATTTTTTTTTTTTCGTATTTTCTAATAATCTTAAACTAAAATCTTAAGGATAGGAAAATCTTTGTTGAAATCTTGGTAAGGCATAAAAAAAATTTAATGGAAGGAATTCTTAAGGCATAAAAAAATATTGAATCTTAATTGAATGGAATGAAAAAAATAAAATCTTAAAGCATAAATCTTAAGGGTAAATAAAAAAAATAAAATTCTTAATTGTCTTAAATTCTCTTTCTTTTTTTTTCTTTTTTTTTTTTTTTTGTAAATTTTACTATATATACTATCGTTTATATTTTAAATTCTTTTTTTTTTTTTTTCATTTTCGTTTATATTTTTAAATTCTCTCTTTTTTTTAAAAAAAAAAACAAAAATACAACTATCGTTTAACTATTGAACGAAATCAAATTTTAAATGAACTCGGTTTGATCAAATTCTGAATTTTGTGAGAGAGGATGTATGGTTTGTTCCATATCAAAGAAAGGAACTTCTGGTTGTGAGAGAGGATTTCTGGCGACAATTTCACGATCTTCTTCTGGAAGAAACGACAAATATGTATCTTCAAGATACGTAATATCTTGAAAAGGTTCCACTTCAGCAGAGGACGGTGGTTCTTCGTTGGTATATTGATCTTGGTCAAAATATTGAAGAAGAAGAAGTTGTTCAAAGGTGTACGGATAAACGGTATTATTATCGGTGCAATCGGCCAAGTTGGGAAAAGAATTCATTGTTAAAGAATCATCGATGGGGAAATAAGGATTTTCGAGAAAAGAGGAATCTGTGTAATCGGCCAAGTTGGGAAAAGAATTCGTTGGTGAAGAATCATCGATGGGGAAACGAGGATCGTCGAGAAAGGAGGACCCCGGTGAAGACTGTTCTGAATTGGTAGCGAATTCAGAATCAGACGTTTGGATGAAATCAGTATCGGAATCATCGTCATTCTTGACTTTTTTGTTCCTGTTTTTACTGCCTTTTACTTTTGTTGTTCTTGCAGTGTTCGGACGATACTTGTAATCTTCGTATAACGCATTATGTCGTTCCGTTGCTACCCTGGCAAGAGCGGTAAAGAGGACTTTCACCTCTTCAGTCTCTTCTCTCCACATGGTGGCAAAATCCTTTGAACGGTCCGCTGCTTTCATTTTCTCAGTCTTAAATTTCGCACTCAAATGCCTACGGTATAACATAAACGAATTTTGAGGCCGCGGGGGTTTACAAATGCCCTTCTTTGCTTGCCTTTTTGCACGGCGAGTTTCACTGGAATTTTCAATGAGAACTCTTAGGGGGAGGGCGAAGGGATAGTTCGAATTGGAAACGATTTGATAATCGTCTAAAGTGTTACCAAGCGAAATCGTTCTGTTGGGATTTGGGGGTGCCAGTTCGTTGTTTGAACTGACAAAGTTGGATTTACCGCCTTGATTAACCTCAAAGACGTGAAACCCTTGGTGTTGGTTAATTGGGTTGTTTAATTTAGATCTAGTCATTTTTGAGAGAAAAAAAAAAGTTTTTGAAATTTTTCTTTGAGATTTTTTTGAATTTCTTTCTATTTTATAAGAATCCAAACTCCAAAATTGAACGGTGCAATTTAGGGGAACTCTTGGGATATATTTATAGAAAAATCGTATTTTTTTTTCTTTTGTCTATTTTCTGTAACGCAGTAAAAAAAAGCTTTTGTGATTTTTTTGGGAGATTTGCATAATACTGTTAATACATTTTGCATAATATAAAAAAACCTTTTTCTTTTAGGAATCCCGTTTTCTTTTTAAGGATTCGATTATTATGATTACATTGTGTCATGCGACTTCTAGGTTTTTTTTTTTTATTTATTGATTCTTTTTTTATTTTTTTAATTAACCTTTTTTTTTCATATATTTTGGGAATGAATGCGCTTTTTATCTTTACTTATGGACAAAATCGATGGTATCACATTGAATCACACGTACTGTTTCGGATTATTAAGGTAAATCACCTCGCACAGAAAAAAATGTTTTTTAGCTTTCACAAAAACAACATATTTGTTTCATAAATGCTTATATATTTTATTATTATAAAAAAAAAAAAAAAAATAAATCTTTGCATATTTTTATCGGGGGAAAATAAAAAAAAAAAAATTCTCTTCTCTCGTAAATGTGCTTTTGCTTATGTTCTTAAAAAATATCTTAATAAAGGAAGGTAACGCATAAAAAAATCTTAAATAATTCGAAACTTAAATCTTAAAAAAAAGAAAAATCAATAAATTTTGACCGAATGCAATGTGAGAGGGTATCGAAAGGTGATCACGGATTAAAAAGCGTTCGAAGGATCTTTATGAACAGCTAATGGGCTGACGTAATTGACATGTGAATCATGACTTGAATTGTCGTAGTATGAATCCAAATCAAATATGCTATTCAAATCTAGGTTTTGTAATGTCGGTGAACTAGATACCGAAGTCGCAGGGGTAGGAATGCTTGTCGAAAGAAGGGTTTGTTCATTGACAGATTTTTTTTTCATTGATTTTCTTGGTTTGTATTGGTAACCCAGATAATTTTTCAAGTGTCGTTTCCTCGCCAGGTTGGCCAATGCTTCAAATACGTCTTTGACGCTTTGTATCTCATTTTTCCACATTTTGCTTATGACTTTTGTCATCCTTTTTGTGGGTTCCTTGATAAACTCCGGGTCTTTTTTGATCCTTGCGGTTGTATCTCTCAAATAAAGTATATAAGAGTTTTGAGGACGTGGCGGTTCGGATCTTTTACCTCGGGTTGCTCTCCGAGAAGTGGTGGAGTTAACAATGAGTTCTTCGATTCCAAGGGTGAACTTGTAGTTCGAAGAATATACAATTTGTTCATCCCTTTCGTAAGTATCGATGCGAATCGGTACGTTTGGTTCCGGTGGCGACGGCGGAATCATGGAAACATTAGACGAAACGGTATAGATAGAGCTTGTCCTATCATAACCTTCATTCGCGTAAAAAACGTGGTATCCTCGTTGCTGCTGGTTATACACCATTTCTTTATCGGAAGCGAATAAAAAGAGGGTCTTTGGTTTCGGATGATTTAAGTGAAAAAAACAAACTAAAATGGTGTATTAACAGTTAAAGCATGCAACTAGAAACGATGATTTCTCAAAATTTTTCTCATGTTGCAAAAAGCTTATTTATAAGGATTGGATCAAATATCCGGACGTATATGATACATTAACATTTTGTCAAATTAACAAGACAATTACAATGTCAGCTTATAAGGCTGATGGATTTTCTCCGTACTTCTCTAACGATTCCCTTTTACCGGGTAATATAAATTATTTATACTTTTACTTTAAAATCGATATATCACTTTTATCACTTTTATATGACATATATATTTTTTTGATAAATTACATAACACATCAATTTATTATTATTGACACATGACCGGAATATCGTCTCTTTGACGAACTTGCCATATTTGTCATATTTAAACTGTGCCATTTTTGCTGAACTTACGTGTTCAAATTCTCTTGATTTCTAATTTGTTCCTGACACGTGTATAACTGTACGGATTAAGTAATCGTTAAATTACAACAATAACAATCTTTTGAACAAATAATTTTTATTCAAAAGTAACCAAAATCAATGGAGATGACGGAGTTGAGGCAAACACGATTTTAATGCTCGCGTTAAGAACATTTGATGATGTGTGCGCTTGAAATTCGATTACTTTTTTAGAAATGACAATTAAGTAAATGATCGAAGGTGTTGCTAAATAAAAAAACAAAAGAAAGATCTTTTTTACATTGCCTTGGTCAATGAACCCTGAAGGTTTTTACCTATTTGGTAATGAAATATATTTGGGTTGTGATCGCCCATTTTTATTCATCACAAAGTTTTATGAACATTGTTCTCCCTAAAATTTCATTGGTGTCATAAAAAATTGAGTTTAGCCGGTGGTACACAATTTGTATATTGTCACATAAAAATGATAAAAAAATTGTTATGTTCTCCCAAATTGAGTAATATTATATGATAAAATTATTGATTTTAGAAGGTTGGAAATTTCCATTTCTTGGCATTTGATCGTCAAACAACTCTGAGAAATCTCAGAGAAATTATAAGCATTTAGTGTGACGATCCTTAATGTGATGTTGAAATTTACAGTTAAAATGATTGGTTCAATGCATAAAAAAAAAAATTTAAAAAAAAAATTTAAAAAAGGTATTTTTTTGTTTCTGCAATTAGAAATAACTGCGGCACCTTGAATTAAAAAAATTTGATAAAATAGATTTTGGCGGTAAAAAAAAAAAAAAAATTATGTACCGAAAAAAACAATAGATTTATGTCACAATTAATGAACGAATATACGATTGTTTTTGATAATGACCCGCATACTTAAATTCTTGTTTAATGCATTCATGGTGTCATATTTTGGTTCTTATCATCTAAAAATAAACACCAAAAATGTTTCTTGTGATGCAGGAGATAATTCTCCGAGATAAACTACCAATTCAGTGAAATATAGAAAAGTTTCAATGAAAGGCCAGAACACGGATTTACGATAAAAAAATTTCCTTTTTTTCATTGTTTCAAAAGCAGAAACGGGTGTAAAATCAGAAAATCCGTGATGAACGCCACATGTAATTGCACGCCATGTTCCTTTTGTGTGGCGGCTATTATCTTACTTTTTTGCAATTACGCGTCATGATTCATAACTCCGAGATTGCACATTAGGTTATTTTTAGGACGAGAGATCGTTTTCGGTGATGAAACAATTTTATCGGTGATCAGAGCACGTGATGCGCGAATAACGAGACGATGTACCCATTTTTGGAGTTCTTTTGAAATTGGAAATTCAAATCAATGAATTTTGGATCATCATCATCATCAATTCAAATGTATAAATAAAATTTGATAAAATATTTACCGACTAAGTAATTTCACGCGTTTCTCAAAAATAGCAAGTAATTATAGCAATCGCTTTCCAAGAGAATGTGATCGTATCCTTGAAAAAAAAAATAAAATAAAATTAATAAAGCAAAATTAATTTATTTATTACTTGATTTATTAAAACTGGAGGCACGTGGTTTCAAGCTACCACCTGAAGGATCTAAAGATAAGATTAAATAAACGGGGCAACTTAGGGTTACACAGTTATAAATAAAATATTAAAATATCCAAAAAAGTGATATTATCATTATTTTAAAACAAGGAATTGAGTAACTTCCCTCCCATGATTTCTGAAATTTATTTATTTTTGGCGTTTTTTTTTTTCCTTTTTCGAAAAACCAATTCAAAATATGAATGGTTTACGTGAAACATAAGGGTGACCAATAACATTATTTGTTAAAAACGAAACGCAGAGGTGACGAATAGCCATTTATATTTATGACTAACTCCGAACTTATACTAAGTTTATCATTGTCATCCGTGTAAAGTTAGAATTTTCTTACTTATATAATGTTAAATATATAGATATTGAAAAAGTACAATAAAGTTAAAAATATAAGTTGAAATAGAAAAGATACTTGTTGCATCAAAATTTCTTCAATATATCAGTTATTTTAAAATAACATCATTTTTGATTTTTAAAAGGTTATAAATATGGTATTCTTAAAATATAGTTGTACAAGTAAAGCTCTTATTTTAAAAAATAATATTGCTATAGTAAATTTCAACATAATTTTTTTAAAATAAAAATTAAACCTAGTTTGTTTTAAATTTTCTATCAAATTTGAAAAATTTATATATTAATAAATTAACATTATTTTTAATAATAAAAAAGTTTAAAAAAATCAAATACATTAAAATTTTTATTTATATGTAATTTACATAAAATATATGATAATTTTCAATATACACTATTTCTTATATATTAAATAATCATCTTTTATTTTAAAGAAACTTTAATAGTTTAATAAGATGAATCTTTACAGTAAAAAGAAGGAAATTACCAAGAAAAAAATTTTTTGTATTTTATAAATTAAATATTATTTTTTTAATAAATAAATTCAGATTTTACATTTAATTTTTTATAAATGATCATTATTATTTAATAATAATACTTTTATAATAATTACATAATATTTTTTTTAAAATATTCAATAGGTTTTCAGATTAATATTAAATTAAATCTGATTTATGATCTGATTTAATAAAATTTAATTCAATTAATTAAAGCAAATTAATTTCTTTTTATTTTTTATTTATTTTAATTATTTATTTTTTTTTACTTTAATTATTCTTTTAATTTAAATCTAAAACATTTTTTTTCAAACATTTTAAAATAAGTTTATTAAATTATTTTTTTAAAGTTTTTTCTTTTATTTATTAATTTTTTAAAAGCAATTTTTTCATTTTTTAAATAAATAAATTTTTTACATAATATTTATATAAAATTTTTAAAAGCAAATTTTCATTTTTTGAAATAAATAATTTTTCTTTTAAAAGTTTATTAAAATTCTTTAAATATAAATTCTTATTTTATTACTTATTTTCATCTTTTTTAAAAACAAATTTTTTATTCTTTAAAATAAATAAGAAATTATTAAAATATTCTTTTAAAGGTAAATTCTTCTTTTATTAACTTTTTTTTAAAATAAATATATTTTTAATTTTAGAATTAAGCATTTATTATTTATCATATTTGAATATTATTTAATATATTATTATAAAGCATAATTTTAAAAAAAATAATCTAATTATTATTAGATTTTGAATGATAATATATTTAAATTTTAAAGATGATTAATTAATTAAAAGCTTTCAATAAAAATCTATTAATATTGAAAAAGTTAAAATTAAAAAAATTAGTAAATTCTAATATCTTCTAATTTTTCAGATACATTACTAAATTAAGTATATTTTTATAATATTATTATATTAATATAATCTAATTATAACTTTATATTAAAAATATAATCTAATTATTATTTATAACCTAATTTATAATTTATATATTATTAGTTAAATCAAAAAATTACTAAATAAAATTATTTAGTAAATTTAAATATCAATTTTTATCAAGTTGAATTAGTATTTATTACATTTTTTATGATATTAATTATATATAAATTCTATTTAATAATATTTATTAAAGATTTAAATTAAATAAAATATGATTAAATTTTAACCTATATTTATAATATTTATTTGACTAATTAAAATCAATCTTAAGCTACTTTATCAATTAGTGAAAATGTTAAAAGAATTATTGATCTTTAATTAACAATCTTATATAACATAATATAATAAAAGTTTTGTTATAAGCTACATGATTAAACTTCAATATACTTATTCAATTTATGACTAAAATTGATTTTTTAACTTCTATTTTACATATTTTTATAAATTTTTTCAAAGAAAACCTCTTTGTGAAAAAAAATTATGTTTTAAAGCTTGATTATATTTTTGTATTTATGTTCAAAATTGAATAGTTAAATATATAAAAATGTTCAAATAATGACTTAGGTATCTGCTTTTTTATTATTTTTGTTAACCTTTATAGACAAAAAAATTTATTTAAATAGTAATTTTAAGAAATTATAAATTATATTTTTATATATATTAATATATCAATGTATTTCAATTATTTTTATTATAAATTTATTAATTAAAATATATTATTTTATCTTTATAATAGCAATAGATAATAAAAATGTAATTTTTTCTATTTGGATTTCTTAATATGATAATTTTACTAACTCTAAATCCTTTTCTTATTCCATTCTACTTCTAATAACTGTTCAATTTTTTAATATACTTGATTGGAAATTTTGATCTTATAGATGAGTAATTTTTCTAAGATTTCTTTTTCATGAAAAAAAGTCTTTCTTTTTTTGGTTAATTGATCCTGTTTAAGTGGTTAATCTTTACTTTTCATTTTTTATATTTACGTTTTTTTTCTTTATCTATTTTATTTTAAGTAAAATAATCTTTATATTTCATTTTACAAACTTTTAATACTTGTTATCCAGTAGTATTTCTTATTTCACTTTGTAAAACTTCTTGACGAAAAATTGTTTGTATTCATATAAATTCATTCTTATAACATACAATTAACTTTTCATATCCTATTTTATGTAATTCAGGTGATTTCATTTCATAAAAGATTAAATGAGATAAAGGATCCTCTATATCAAAAATAGTCATCAAATTTTCTATTAATACCTATAAAGATTCTTTATATGTATTAATAATCTGAGAACTTTGTAAAATAATAGTATCTTTCAAATATTTACTTAATAGCAAATTAATTTTTTTCCTTTCAATTGTGCAGCTTTGATATTTATTTTAAGAATTATATTATCAATAATGTTACCAGTTATATTTTGTTTAATAAATTATATATCAAATATTTTTAAAGCTTCATCAAAACTAAAACAATTATATTTTGAATTTTTATTTTCAGTATTATTAGAAGAATTAGATATTTTAAATGAACTAATATATTGTAATTTTTCATTTAAAATTGAAAATTTTTTTAAAAGAGAAAGATATTGTATAATAGCAGTTGCATAATTAGATTTACCAGCACTTGAAAAAAGAGGAGCAGCAACAATAAGAGTATTTTGTTATAAATTATGATTACTAATTTATATTCTAATACAATAAGCCTTTCAAATTCCAGTTCAATAATAATATAAGTACCATGTTTTTAGAAAAATATGAGAATCATTATTTCTGTCTATTATTTGATTTATTTGAATATTTTTTTCTATATAGATATTGATTGCAATTCCTATTGTTATTCATAAAAGATCTAAAACATAAGCAGTTAATTGATAATCAATAGCAGATTCTAATTTATCTAAAAAATGCATACCTAATTGATAAGCAAAATTTAATTAGAAAATAATACAAGTAAAATAAAATAAAAATCCTTAAAAGTATGCTACTATCTTAATAATAGTCATAAATAAGACTATTGAGCTTTAACTTTTATTAAACGATAAAAAATAGCTTTGTCTACAACAATATCGAAATACTCTTTTTCATTTAATTCAAAATTATTCATATATATTTTTGCAGCTTCTAAAATAGAATCATCAGAATTTAGATTTTCTTCTGATTCTAAAATAATTATATATGATAAAGGTTCTTAATAACCATATTTAAATTCAGGTAATAGTTTTTTTATTACTTCCGTATCAAAATCTTTATTATATATTAATTGACCATTATTATCACTTTTTATATCTAATAATTTCAAACATTTTTTGAAATATATTAAAAGCATACTGTATTTTTGAATTCATATCAAAAAGATGAGTATTTTCATTCAAATTAATCTCTTTCTCATTTCAAAAATTGGTATATTTAATTGAAAAGCTATTCGTAAAATTGCATGAGAATTGCCTTGTATTATATCATATATATTACCAAAAGTAAAGGATTTTTGTTTAAAGTCTATATTATCAATCACTGCCAAATTTCATATATTTGACCTTTTGATTAAATATTATTTTGATATAATATTATTCATTCATATTTTTCTTGAATTCATTTATGACATTCAGTATAACTGGTAATATTTCAAATTGTTAAAAGTTGATATAATTGTAATTAATTTTGATTTACGTTTTAAACTAGCTAGAATATCTGTTAACCATATTCTATATGAAGGAAAAGTCATTCTAATTAAAACTGATATAAAAAAAGTAACAATTTTGAGAATTTTAAATTCAGGTATTTGTTTTGTTGGTATTTTTCGATGCTTTCTTTGAAAATTACTAATTATAGTTTTTTTTTAAAAAAATTTTATAAATTATACCAATGAAAATTTCAGAAAGAAATAATGAAAATGCCTTATAATATTTAAAAATTGATGTTGGCGATTCTAATAATTCTTTTTTTTCTTTTATTTCATTATGTGATTTACATAATTTTACTCTAATCTGATGTCTTAAAAAATAATAATCTTCAACTTCCTTTCACTTTTAATTGATCTCTCTAAATTATTTTTTTGTATCTGAAATGTATCAAAAAATAATACTTTAATTATAAATAGACTTATGGACTGTGTTGAAATTTCATTAATAGTAATACTATTTGAAAAAGATTCTTAAGAAATAAAAGAAATAAGTGAATTGATTACTGCTTTCAAAATTGTGATTTTTTTTGATTTATCAGCTGATTTTGCAATCTTATTAAGCTATTGTGCATAAATTCAAGTCCTTTACTAGTATTTTCATTATACAATTTATTTTTAATACAATTTTTTCTTTGACTTCATTCTAAACGTCTATGAATGTATCCTCCTAACTCTTTATAACAAGTACAACAAATACATCATAGTCTTTTAGTATCATCATAAGTATGTTGACAAAGAGTAAAATAGTTTCTCAATGCATCACAATATAATAGTCTATTGCAAGGAACTTGAATCCTATGACTATCTATTAACTATAAATGATTCTTATATCCTTTTCCTCAGCTAAAAAATGTTACAAAATTTCTACATCTAATACATTTTATTTTTGAATCATAGATAAGTTTATTTTTTTAATTGTTTATCAAAATTTTTATGGAGTTAGTTTTTATCAAATAAAAATGAGAATTGCAAACTCCAATTTAGTATAGTCACCATTTACTTGTTGAACTGCATTTGATCTATTTATTATATTCCATAAAGATTATATAACTTTTATAATTTATATATTAAATTACATCTTTGAATAATACCTTCAATATGCTCAATGATTACACAAGGTGTTAATGGAAAAGGTGGTGAAGAAGAAGGGAAAAGTAAAGAGGGAAATAAAGAAGAAACAGGAAAATTAAGATTGATTTTTTTATCATTATTATTATTATTTTAATTTGTTATTTTTGTTACATTATGCTTATTGTATTCAATAATTTCATCAGTTTTTTTCTTACAAAAATTCTGATTTTTTTCAGTGATATAATCATTTAAATTCTTTTCTATCTTATCAAAATTATATTCAAAGATACTATCATCATTATTATTATCTAAAGATTTTTAATATATTGTTAATAATAATTATTTATATAAAAGAGTATATTCACATATGTATTAATTACCTGCTATTAATTTTATCATTTCTTGAAGTAAGTCTTTATCAGATTGAAAATTGATAAGAAGTAATTCAAATATAGCATTATTATTTGTAAGGTTCTCATTATAAGTATTACTATTAGCCTTAGATGTGTCAGTTAAAATGCTATATATTTCGTAATATAAAAATGAAGTTGAAAAAGATGTAGAATCAGCATCATTACTAAAGTTTAAAGCTGCAATTTCTATAATATTAATAGCTGAAATCTATTACTTTAGGCTTCAGATTGAACAAAACAAACTTATAAATATTACTTTAATAATATATTAACTAACCTTCTTCAGAACTCACTATTTAATGTTTATTATATGCAAATAACCTGTTACAAGGAAGAAATAAGATTTTATATATAGCTTAGTGAAATTTGGCAGTACATTTTATTATAAAAAATAATCAGCAATATAATTAAATTTACTATTTTATGCAACTTCTGTGATTAAAATATGATATTTCTACCAATTATTATATTAAATTTATATTTATCTAATTTAAATAAATTAAAGTAATTAGAAATTAAAAAATTTTATATAAATTTAGTTTAAATTTAATTTTTAATTAATTTGAATTATTTTAACTAATATAAATTAAAATGATTTATTTTTAATTATATAATTTAATTATATTAGTTATTTTATGCTATTTTATATATTCTTTTAAAATTTTTTTCTATTAAATTTTTTATTTAAAAATTTAACTATAATATGGGTTCTTTGCTAGGAAAATGAGGTTCTCAGACCTTCTGACCGAAATCAAGATTTTTGCTTTATATTAATGTGTAATATATAAACTTTATTTGGTTAAATTTTTATAGTATATTACCTTA